CAAAAAAAATTTCAGAGCTTTCTTACTGTAGTGGGGCATTTAGTTACAGTTCAATATATCTTGGCTATTTAAGTAATAGTAATGACATCAACCAGAACAAGAAGAATGCCACTATTCATCAAGAAAGAGAAGTACATAAGTAAGGTTGCCTCGCAGCTACATCAACAAGATCCAGGCCTGTTTGAAATTGCAAATGTTAGCCTGAAAAAAAAAAAAAAAAAACCAGAATGACCAGATAAAAGCCAGCCCTGGCTAAAGCAGAAACAAACCCATTTTCCTCACGATTGATGTAAGATGGAAACTGCTTTTCTATTAATGGTTGCGTGCTGGGGCTGTGGAAAGGTATGTGTACATTTGATTATTAAATGACAACAAGCGGAGAATGAAGGGGAGAAGAGCTCGTGATGTGGGATTGATAAGGTGAGCAAGGTCAAGGAAACTTGGGCTGATTTTGCAATTAAGCGGTCCAATAATTTTTGAATTTTCAAAGATTTGCAGTGTCTCTCTGATCTACCTCTACAAGGTGCATTCTATTTGGAGGAAATGAAAAGGGCTGCAAGTGTCCTTCATTTTCCATTTTATTAATGACTTAACCGGCATTGATATGCTACATTATAGCTCTGAGCACTCCACAGTCCTTGAAGTTGAAATGGCTAAAATTCATTAAAGCATTCAAGTTAGAAATAAAGAAATAGTTGAAGCCTAGTAGATTTCCACATTAGCAATATTCCCCTCCTGCTCTTTCAGATTCATTTTCCAAGTATAAATAGCTTAGACACACAGAAGCATTGCTGCACTGTTATTGATGTGTAGTCCATCTCAGGAGATAAACCCAGCATTTATTTTCATATATGTTTTAATGTGAAGAATTACCAAGAAAAAAATCCAGTAGAGGCTCAGTTATTTAATTAAAGTAAATGTATTCTGTTAATGAATAGAATTAAACCGACAACACACATTCTTAGATTTTATTTGTATTTAAGGTTTTTATTTTTTTTAAATTTCCCCAAAGAATTAATTATCATGTATATAATTTGTCTAATCTCAGTTACACTTCAGAGCTGTAAATTCAAGCTGTGTTCTAATGCAGGATGGGGATTCTAGAGTGTCTCCCTAGGGACTGTCGCAGGCTAAAGCCTGCCTAGGGAGGTGGTAAGCCAGAGAAGCGATTTTCACTCAGCTTGAAAACAATAGTCAGGAGCCTATGAGATTTACATAATGGCATCACTACTCCAAAGCAAGAAAACGTTTCTTGACTATAAGCATTTTAGACATCGATAGTCCAGGAGAAACATCTTGTATTCTTTCTCTGTAACTGCCTTTCACACTATTGGGAAAGAATATTTTACAAGCTGAGTTCCAGGAAAAGGATAATGATGTTTTATTCATTATGATGGACTTTAATGATAAGAAGAGTAGATATATTGATGACACTTGAAATATAGTTTTAAAACCTAGTAATTTATATAAAATTATTAATAAACTAACTCATTAGTGTTTTAAAGTAACCTCTTGTTATGAAACTTTGATTTCTGTCAACTATATTTTTTGTACAAAATAATTCTGAAATATTTTAGTTAAAAAAATTCCCAATATCAGAAGACACAATGTGTCTTTAAAACAACACACACAAATGTAAAAGCTTCAAAGGAATCCAACAAAATGAGAAAACTATATCCCCAAAGGCACTACAAAATTGTGAAAATGGAGTAAATAATGTGAATATGTATCAGAAGACAGTATTGTTTAGATATTTGAAGGCAGACAACTCAAAAAATTTATAGTTGCAACAATGTTGAAAGTCATTTCCCATCTCTGTTTATATTCTTAATACTCTAGTATTTATTTCATATACAATCTGGATACATATATAAAAGTACCTGATACAGTCTAAAACGTTATACTCTCATCATGTTGAATTACGTCATGTAAAGCAAATTACAAGCAAAACGTTTTTCATTCTTGGCAGGAATATCTTGAACCAAATAAACATAAACAAAAGCTTAGCTCTTCCCAGTGCATGCAGTAATTTTTGTATCTTCACTTTAATTTTGTATTTTATCAGAAAATAAAAATCCCCAATTGGCATCGAGGTGAAAGTTCTCTTTCTGCACTGCATGAGTGATTTCAGAGTGATGAACAGACTGTGTCATGGGAACCAGTGAGAAAAGACACACAGAGCAGATGCAGCTTGCATCCAAAGTGCATAGCCAGAAAGCAGCCTTTTCTCTCTTCAGTTGAGCTGCAGGAATCAATTATATTATGCTCAGAGATGGTTACATCCACTTAACGAAAGGTCATCTAGCTGGCTAATAATCGATATTCATGCTTTCTGATCTTTTCCTACAAAGTACACAAATTTTTGTAAATAGAAAGCAAATCTTAATCCAGTCGTTTGATGTGTTTGGCTGTTGCCCTCTGATGAAGTTCTCCACACTAACTACTTTCGTGTCCCATTCATTTTGATATCTTCCCAGGTACCAGTGCCAAATGCCAAATTTTAAAACAATCCAGTGCCTCAAAGCTTCCGTTTTTGTTATTTGTATTCACCAAGTTTAGATTTAAAAAAAATGTCTGGAAATCATAAACAAAATGTAAGACATGCTCTGTTATTCATTAAGCTAGCCAGCCAGGAAATAGCATAGACTAAGAAGGAAGCAAGAACAAAAAATTGACCCTAAATATTGAGACAGTCATTTGATTTCAGTTCCACAACACTGATATTGAGAAGTCATACTGTCTTCAGTGTTAACTGAAATAATGTTATTAGTCCATATTTCCATTTTTCACATGATATGGTCACTACTATAGGGGAGAAATCTGTGTACTCTGCATTTATATTCTTATCAGGATCAATTACCTATGATTAGCTCTAGTGGGGAGCTTGGCTTTTAATTAAAAGAGTTTCTTGTTGTGGAATATAATAGGGCCTGTGGCAGAATCACTGGCTACTATCAGCAGACTGACTTAGCTCCCTTCCTAATTGCTAACAAGCTTCCCTGATCTGTAGAGACTGTGCTTTACAGTAGAAATAACAATTTTATTTACACAGATATGGTAAAATGGGGCATGTTGCCTCTACTTCCCATACAGGTGATCCACTGTATGGGACACAAGCAAGGATGATATTGATCTTGGGTCACAGAAATAAAATAATAAAGTAGCATTGTAATGGGCAAAATATATGTCTGGTTATGTCACTGTGTATAAGGAAAGGAGAAAGAAGTCGTTTATGAGAAGTATATCATTTGCTCTAAAGATTAAGCAAAGCCATTTTCAAAAAGAAAAGTATGTGTTTATGATTTTATTCTCCTATAATATAAATCCCTTAACAAATATTTTTTTTCAGGTTTTGAAAGACCAATTACTTGCCTTGCATTTTTAGATATTTATTAGCTGCCTTGTTAAAGAAGACTAGCTTATGATTAGATTGACTCCAGAGCTGGCTATTAAAGATATGTTTTTGCTTCACTTTTATATGTTTAGAGTCTGGGTAATGCATGTTTTTTCCCCTTTGTTCATAGTCTTTTTGGTGATTAAAATAGCTTCATCCTGCTGTTTTATAAGAATCTCTAAACACTTGCTTTGACTCACAACTTTGTTTTTTTAAAAAAGAACGATACTCTCTTCTTTCAAAAATATCATCTGTTCTCAAGCAGCGGTGCACTCATGACTCACTGTATAGACAACCACAGTTACACTTTAACACATTTTGTGCTGGAAAAAAAAGGTAGTTCCTCCCCACTTCAAAACTACTACCTAAACCCCCTGTGTAGGTTTTATGTCATTCTCAGGGCCAAACCTGTTACACTCGAAGCGTTTCTATGAGGATTTCTGCCGACGCACCATAAAGGCAGCATTGCAATTCTCCCAGAAATAACCATCAGACAGAAGTTTATAATGCAAAATCATTCAATTATCAGAATTATTTTCACATAAAAGTTAATCCTGACAAACATTCAACATTATCTACTTTTTAATTAGGTAGAATAAATCAAACTCTTCACAATATATAATTAGTTTTGTTAAAAGTATATGAATAATTTGCTAAAAATCTGTTCCTCAATATTATAGATTTTAAAGTCACTTATTTTAAGAAACATTGTATTATTTATATTTGACTTACTATTACATGTTGTAATTGAATTATAATTTAGTGTAGCTCTTTAGGATTTGGAGCATTTTTATCTTTTTCTCTATGCATAAATTGAGTTATTTTGTCATGTTGTTCTAATTACAATTAACTTAGACTATTATTAAACCTGAAGCAATTGTTGATTTAGTAGCTTTATTTTATGTATTGCACAATGAGTCTAAGAGAAGCAAAAGCTGAGAGAAAAGAACAAATAAAATACTAATAAAGTAAAATGAGCTGAAAGTTAGCATATGATTAGCAGGTACCAAAAGTAAAGAATCTAAAACAAGGGCCAGAGAGATGGTTCCATGGGTAAAAGCATTTTGTACAAGCTTGCCTATCTGTGTTTGATCCCTATATGCCATGTAAAAAGAGGTAGCTATAGTAGCACATAGCTGTAAGCCCAGCACTCCTAAGAGAAGTAGGAAGGTGAGACATGAAATCACTCAGAAGATATCTGTATAGCTAGCTTGATGTATACAATGGGAAAATAAATAGAAGCCACCAGGAAGAGAGACTTTGCCTCTAAAACAATATAGAAAGGCGAAGACCCACTTTTTAAGATGTTCTCTGGCCTCCACAGATGTGCCATGCTTAGCACCAGGCCCACGGGAAGAGTTAACAACAGGCAGAAGAGAAAGGGAAGTGATGCAAGTAATCCCAAAGCAAAAACAAAAGGAATCAGAAAGGACATGTGAGATTAGAACAAGGTATGGATAATACAGAAATTACACAACAAAAATACCATAGAAGTATACATTTTAAGTATTTTACTGAATCTCATTTAAGACCATCTGTTTGCTAGCCTTCTTTATTCCCTTCTTTGGGATGAGAACGGTAATCGTTATTTTAAGTAGGCTTTCCCCTAATCTACTTACACCTTGGCATTGTCCTGGCATCCTTGCACAGGAGCCATGCTAATCTTCTCCATATTGTTCCAATTTTAGTATATGTGCTGCCTAAGTGAGCACTTGTCCTGGCATCCTAAATGAAATTTAACCTTTACAAGCAGAATCCTCCATGAAAGTCCAGGGCTGAGCCACAAGCGTTACTCATGAAAAGCTTTTGCCTCTGCCTCATTGATGTCTCTGCAGAAACAATCAGGGGAGAGCACTGACTCCAGTGGGGCCTGAGAGGGCTTATTATTACATCAGTGTAGGTAAAACTCCTCTGATAGATCATCCATCAAAAGATGAAATTAAATAAAACATCATGTGATGGACTTCTGCTATCAGACCTGACTGAAATGTATTCAGATCAAAAAACTTTCATCTTTGCCAAGAACTATCTAAACTCCCACTTGAGTGTGAATTTCACCAGACGTATGGATTCCCTAAATTTCAATACAGTTCTTACTAATTGAAGATTAATTGGCTTATTAACCACTGAAGACTTTCGCTGGGAGTTTGGAGGTGGTGATTTGAAGCCATACTGACTATTAATAAATAGGGAAGAAATTCTTAAATATCTTTTCTACAAATTCAATTACATTTTAAAATGTATATGATGTGTTTCCGTGATTGCACACCAATATCAAAATGAAGTTTTTTTGATCAAAATTAAATAGTACATAAAGTAGACCTCAGGAAGTAATATTTAAAAATGTAGTCATCCTGTTTCTAGTAAGTAAGGAACATTCCCTGTGGGGAACTGGGCTATTCCAGTAGAGTCTGGAAACTTTCTTTATAAGACTGGAACATTTTTGTCACAGACTTTACCAGTGAATGGAGTAGCCTTGTGTAGTTATGGGCCACAAACTGACAAGGACACCTTGGGTTAAATGTAAATTAGTAGTTATAGATCTTTCAGAAGATAAGTCAGTTACTTCTTAGGTTACCAGTAAAGGAAAAGAACAAATAATTGATACTCAGGCTTTCTGGAGACTGCCTCTGAGTTTAAATAGCCTGAAAGTATTGGAGAATATTGTTCTCTAGCCATTTTTGTATAGATACGGTTTGCTTGAATGAGGATATCTTCCTGGACACTAAGTGAGACAACAGCCATTCATACTCATATTGTGTTTTCCTGTTGTCATAATCTTTCATACAATTGCAGAAAAAAACCCACACACTTAGTAAACAGATTATTATTTAAACAAAAATTTACTTTGTAATGTGTATACTCATCCGTCCTTAATGGAAGCTAGATGTGCATGCCAACTGATTCAGTGCTGTTGGGTTTGTTGTGGTTGCTCTCATTAATTTTAAATTTAGCAATTAGTTAAGAATTGTTATTTTAGTGATGTTCTGGTGGCTTTTTGGACAAATTGTGCAAGACAAACAGTACAGAGGGGTTACAATGAAAGAGGAATCAAAAGGACAAAAGGAGGACACAGGTCAAAGAACCTAAGTCCAGGAATAGGGTAGTATTTGTCCAATACGTATGTGGAGGGCAATCACTTTACAGATGTGTTCTGACTTATCCATAAACTGTACATCCTGGAGGTTGATCTGCCTTCAGCTCAGAGTATCTGTAAGTGTGGAGTCAATCAAGAGTAGAAAGTAGAAGCAATATACAGAGTCTCTGGAAGAAAAACAAGAAACTGGCAAGCTAGTCTTCAGCCCAGTATGGGTGATCATGAAGTACACAAAACCAACTTAATTATAGGTTGATTTTTAAGCAGAAGTCACTCTTGACTTCTTCAGAGTGTATCCTGTGGTCTATCCAGCTGCTTGATTTCTTGAGCTTAGTACTAATCTGTGTTTCAATTCTTACTCCATTTCATTTGACTTATCAAAATTTCTTCAACTCTATAAATTTCTTAAACTAAAAATATGTTAACGCAAATAAAAAGACACTTTAAAATTATGAAAACATAGTTGAGGGATAACCAGTGCTGTGTTTCTAGTCAAACTGAATCTTTTCAACACCCCTTACCTCACATTGAAAGCAAACCACTTACACCTAAGGAAACCAGGCCTGTAGGACCTTGTTAAGTGTATAAAATAACTGAGCCTTTTGGGACTGTGTCTAACTCACTAGGCTTCCATTATAAGCAGATTCAAATAATTACTCTCATTCTCTAAGAAGAATGATGCCTTAAATAATGACCAACCTTGGTATTTTGTGTGTTTTAAATGTTCAGATATCCTTCAGGCCTACTTCTACCTTTGAAATAATATATTCAATTGTTCCACTGGTGAACCAATAAAATAATTAAATGATTAAATAAATAAATAATTAAATAAATAATTATATATGTATATATAACAATCTTTGTGAGATGACTCATCCCTCATGGACTTGAGGGCCACACGGCCCAAACAAGTAAAAAAGATACTCTCTGAGAGCCAGCCTGGGTCTGCCTGATGGTCTTAGCAACAGCAGCTGAAACATGATCTGGAGATGACCTGGACCAATGAGAGGCAGCCATGTCACACCAGCTGATGCATATTCATCAGACCTCCCCCCAGGGTGGGGTGGAAGGTATGTAAGGCTTGCCTCTTCCTGAATAAACTGAGCTTGTTGTTTGGACATTCTCCCTGAGTCTGTGTGGTTTGATTCTGTGCCTATTTGGCCCCCACCCCCAATGGGAACAACAGCAAGGACCCTGCTACATCTGTTGCCGAAACCCGGGACATTTGGTTCTTGAACAGGGTCTGTTTGTCTCCCTTTACTCATGTGCGGCGCTATTTGAGAAGCCCCCTTGAGCTGTATATTTCGGTGAGTAGGCCCCTCTACGTTGTGTAAATTCGGTCCCTTTAGCAGGTAAATGCTGGGACCCCCACTTTCTTCTTTCTGTTTGTCTTGTTTGTGAATCTGTCTGTATGGTAGGGTGACATATACTTTTGTTCAGGCTCGCCTAGTGTTTCCATATAAGGGCTGGACCCTCAGGAAACAACATCCACAGTCTGACTAATTTTAGTTGTGTATGTATATATGTTTGTGTGTGTATATATGTGTGTATGTATATGTATGTATGTATGTATGTGTGTTTGTGAATGCATGCGTGTGCTTGTGGGTTGTGACGCCTGGAGAGATGGATCAGTAGTTAATACTGCTTGCTCCAGAGATCTTTTCAGAGAACATGTGGGAACCTGATCTTTGGATAAGAGTTCTGTTCCTGGCCAGAAACAGTGAAGTGGCCTCAAGAGTAACTCTCCAATTGTTTGTGATGCCTAAAGTCATCCTCTACTGAGGCCCACAACAAGCACTGTCAGAAACAATGTAACGTTAACTTATCTATTGCCTTGATTCCATCCCTGACTGATATTTCCTCTGCCTCTGCTGGCAAGGAGAGGCATGAGCATAGGCATAAAGTGAAGGAAAGGGATGGCAAGAGAGGAAATGCTTGCAGCAGCATCTAAGCCTATACTGGCAGGCCCTCTCACTGTTCCCCCCATGCCTCGAGTGGCTACCCCGCCACTACAGTATCCATGGACTGATTTGACTGGAAGTGTGTGCCTGCCGAGACAGCTGCTCTGCATACCTCCCAGCCTGTTCTACCTATGGTGCTGCACATGCCCACCATGTCATTTCCAGTTAATGTGAGCCCCAATACGGCTAACCAACCATGGATACCTACCCCTCTTTTAGACCTGTCTTTGGTCCATAAGGCTGCTAATGAATCAGGTCCTGACTCATCATATTTTGAGCAAGTCCTACGGCAATGGACAATACATTCACAGACTTATGACTGGCACCATTTGATGAAGGCTGTGTTGGATCCTGTGGTCTTCCTTAATTGGCAAGCTGCCTATGATAACCAGGCTGAGGCTCAGCCCCATTTTAATATACAGCACAACATGGCTGTTTCTCTTGAGATGCTCACAGGCCAAGGGACCATATGTTAACCCTGTCATACAAGCCCAAATTGGACAACACACTTATTTACCTACCTTGGGAGACACCATTGCCCTTGGTGCATTGAAGGGATCCCATCACCCTTCAGTGGCAACACTCTGTTCCCCTATTAACCCGGGGGCGAGGATATGCTTGCATTTTCCCCCAGAATACCACCACATCAATATGGGTATCCTCCAGAGACGTGCGTCCAGCAACACACCAAGAGACTTTGGATAAAGAAGAAGCTTCAGAAGGGTAATGTATGATTTGTCCTGCTACTGTGACATTCATTAGTAAAGGTCATGTCATCACTGACATGCGACCCTAGAGATTAAGCAATTGCCTCACCCCTTACAAGGTCGATTATACACCACCAAAAAGACTTCAACTGGCGCAATAAAAATGACTGGGGTCCCATCCATGTCCTTGAGATTGAAATTTTGACTAATCCTTCTCTTGTTCAGATATCTTCTGCAACAGGTTCACCAACAGAAGGCGGCCACAGAGGTGACCCTACAGGTTTTATTGGCTCTCAGACACCTAGCTCAAAGTACTCCTAGAGAGATAATGTATACATGGCTCACTGAGATAGAGAAGGCTACTGCCTAAAGCCCACCACCCAGACAGCTCTCCAGGATTGATGCTCTTCCAGGGATGGTAGTCAATGACAGATGCGAGCTTGTTTGGCAAGCCAATCTAAGACAGGCACAGTCCATTATGCTGAGCTCTCCTGAGGTGGGGTCAACAAGGTTAGGGCAATGCACCCTAACTCCCACTGAGCATGTCCTATGAAATAATAAAAAGGGGTGGATATGTGGGATGACTCATCCCTAACAGGCTTGAGGGCCAGACGGCCCAAACCAGTAAAAAAGATACTTTCTGAGAGCCAACCTGTGTCTGCCTGATGGTCTTAGTAACAGCAGCTGAAACATGATCTGGAGATGACCTGGACCAATGAGAGACAGCCATATCACACCAGTTGATGCATATTCATCAGACCTCCCCCAAGGGTGGGGTGGAGGGTATATAAGGCTTGCCTCTTCTTGAATAAACTGAGCTTGCTGTTTGGACATTCTCCCGGAGTCTGTGTGGTTTGACTCTGTGCCTACTTGGCCCCCACCCCCAAAGGGAACAGCAGCAAGGACCCTGCTACAAATCTTGTCAACAGTAGTAAAAAGACTAATCT